AAAGGGAAGGAGGAGGGGGTGGGAGATGTGTACACTCACAGGCTTTGGAGAAGAATAGGGTAGAGTTAGGGTAAGTTATGGAGGGGATAGACGATAAATGTTATTATTAGGACCTGGGGTGGGGTTATGGCAAATTGGGTAGGGGACATGTAAACTAATGTATGGATCTAGGGAGGGATAGGGTGGAGTTAGGGCAAATTAGGTAGGGGACACGTAAACTAATGTATGAATCTAGGGAGGGATAGGGTGGAGTTTGGGCAAGTTAGGTAGGGGACAGGTAAACTAATGTATGGATCTGGGGAGGGATAGGGTGGGTTTTGGGAAAATTGTGTGAATATGGAGAGCCTCATAAAGCTTTGACTGGGAGTGAGGACTCAGATGAGGGTGGTAAACAAAAATGATGATGTTCTGTTGTGTCAGAAGGGAACATAATATTGAAAGTGTAATTCGGGACATATTGAGGTTTAGGAAGAGAAAAGGGTGTAGGTTTGATAGGTATGTTTTATTGTATAATTTGGGGCAATGTGTACCCGGTGTTGGGGGAGTGTTAGGTAGGGGAGATGTTTGGATAGGTGCATTAAGGTATGATTTCGTACAAGGTAGTATATTAGTACCGGTATACTGGAGGAAGGGGAGGAAAAGAAATGTACAGAGGTTCTAATGAGATAGACATATGACATGTACAAATGTATTGTAGATTTGTGTATATAATGACAGAAGTAGACAGCAAGGATCCTGTTGTTTCTTTGTGTAATCTCACTTGTCAGTGTCTCTAATTCAACAGGTACAGGGCCTCCCACAACCTACATGTCAGTGTCTCTAATTCAACAGGTACAGGGCCTCCCACAAGGGCCTCCCGAAACCTGCATGTCAGTGTGTCTCATGATCAGAAGATATAGGTCCCCACAACCTACAAGTCAGTGTGTCTCATGATCAGAAGGTATAAGTCCCCACAACCTACAAGTCAGTGTGTTTCATGATCAACAGGGACAGGTCCTCCCACAACCTAAAAGTCAGTGTGTCCCTTGATCAGAAGATATAGGTCCCCCACAACCTACAAGTCAGTGTGTCCCTTGATCAGAAGATATAGGTCCCCACAACCTACAAGTCAGTGTGTTTCTAGATCAACAGGGACAGGTCCCCCACAACCTACAAGTCAGTGTGTTTCACAACCTACAAGTCAGTGTGTTTCTAGATCAACAGGGACAGGTCCCCCACAACCTACAAGTCAGTGTGTTTCTAGATCAGAAGATATAGGTCCTCCATAACCTACAAGTCAGTGTGTTTCTAGATCAACAGGGACAGATCCCCCACAACCTACAAGTCAGTGTGTCCCTTGATCAGAAGATATAGGTCCCCCACAACCTACAAGTCAGTGTGTTCCTTGATCAGAAGATATAGGTCCCCCACAACCTACAAGTCAGTGTGTTTCTAGATCAACAGGGACAGGTCCCCCACAATCTACAAGTCAGTGTGTTTCTAGATCAACAGGGACAGGTCCCTCACAACCTACAAGTCAGTGTGATTCTAGATCAACAGGGACAGGTCCCCCACAACCTACAAGTCAGTGTGTCCCTTGATCAGAAGATATAGGTCCCCACAACCTACAAGTCAGTGTGTTTCTAGATCAACAGGGACAGGTCCCCCACAACCTACAAGTCAGTGTGTCCCTTGATCAGAAGATATAGGTCCCCCACAACCTACAAGTCAGTGTGTTTCTAGATCAACATGGACAGGTCCCCCACAATCTACAAGTCAGTGTGTTTCTAGATCAACAGGGACAGGTCCCTCACAACCTACAAGTCAGTGTGTTTCATGATCAACAGGGACAGGTCCTCCCACAACCTACAAGTCAGTGTGATTCTAGATCAACAGGGACAGGTCCCCCACAACCTACAAGTCAGTGTGTCCCTTGATCAGAAGATATAGGTCCCCACAACCTACAAGTCAGTGAGTCCCTTGATCAGAAGATATAGGTCCCCCACAACCTACAAGTCAGTGTGTTTCTAGATCAACAAATACAGGTCCCTCACAACCTACAAGTCAGTGTGTCCCTTGATCTGAAGACATAGGTCCCTCACAACCTACAAGTCAGTGTGTCTAAAGATAGGTCAGGGAGTACTTTGTAGAGTGTGAAAATATCAGGGTATCAGCTAGTCTGGACTATTTCAAGTGTTATTGTCCCTATCAGACAGGAGAGGTATCTAGCTTTGAGTTTGTCTGAAGGCTTGTGTTGGTCTTGTTCCGTTACCAAAGTTCCTTGTCAGCAAGCTGGCCTGCAACATTTCAAAACACATTATTAAAACGAAAATCTTGAATGTTGTAATATTTTCTTTTGGACCATTTAGATTTGTTAAAAATAATCATTTTCTACTTATCTTGATAAAGCTAGTTTACATAAACATTCTTGAAAACATCAAAAATTGAAATTAACACTGTAGGTATTTTAAGCATCATGTGATTTCTAGAGACATGTTTAAATAATCATAGCTTAAAAGACAAAAAAATATTTGTTTGAATGTCTGTAAATTTTTGTTTACTTGTAGACTGTTAAGTTGAAGAGGCTCAGATCAGTGGGCTGTTTATTTTTTGTGTGTACAGATATTACTGTGAGATATGAGCAGTGATAGCTGTGGTGTGTGATTAGCACTGAGCCACTAGTGGGGAGAGATGATGATGGTTGTGTACTATCTACACCACAAGTTCCTTTCTCCACTAGACAGTCTTAAGATTACAGTATTCAGTCTGCAATTTGCCCTAGGAACCAATATATTGCAAACGTACCTATTTTGTAGCAATATGTAGGGCATTATCAATTTTGTACAAATTAGCACCATATTAACAAATTTTTGCATTTATAATTATATATTTCTATATATATGTACAAGTACCATATTGATAAATTTGCACATTCGTAATTATTTCTTTCTATATGTGATTGACATACAGAAAATGCAGTTAGGGAGTTATAATTTTTGCGCAAATTTTTGGTGTGAAAAGTGCAAAATATAAGATAACTGTTAAAATATGTATGTTTACAGAAAACTCTTAAACGATCTAAGAAAACACTGGTATATCAATAGAATCTCTATTCAAAGTCAGTGTCAATGAAAGTAGGATAAAATAGGAACAGAAGAAATATTGACATTATGTACACAGAGAACCTTGAATAATTCCGAAAGTGTAAGAACCTGTCCTTTCATATACTACACCCGCTGTCAGTAATGTCAGATTCCAAAATGAGGAGAGCGTAAACATTGAAACTACAAAGTACTCTGACGAGCATCAAACACATCCAACTTTAAATGACACAAGGAAATTGAATATTTCCCTATGTGATCGGGAAGTGGGTTTATCACAAAAATCATATCGCATTTCTCCTATTTTTTTTGCTGAAACTGTGTTAGATGTAGATGTGATTTAACAATTGTAACACATGGATTGAATGGATACAGAAGTTGTTTCATCATTTTCGATATCTTGACTAAATTAGATGTTAAAGAATTATATCATTTTACTGTTTGGAAATTTTTTTCGAAAAATTTCTTTCCTATCTTTTTCTTATGAAGTATGGTACATCATTTTAAGTAAGATTGATTGAAAATAAATGTGACCAAGTAGCATAGCTTTTTGAAAAAAATGTCTTTCTTGAAGAATTTTTATGCTCGTTTATGAAGATTTAACACGTAGTATTGTCAACTTATGACGACCATATGTAAGTGTTGTTCTCATCTATTTGTAGGTGCATTTATATTGTCAATGGGCTCCAATTTCTCATTGTAATTTTCCAGATGTTACATGTACTATTTTTCATAAAATCATAATTTACCAGATTTATATGGAAAAGTTCTTCTAAAGTTTTGAAATATGATTTGTTCAGAGTATTTATTTATCACAAATAAATAAATCTCTGTTATCACTTTAGCTTGAGTCATTACATAAATTCTGTTATAACATGGAATATGACCTAGTAGAATGTGGTTGGCTGAATGTTCTCATTGTTTCCATGGTTACATCATAACTTCATGATGTCATAAGGTGACATCATCAGAGAAAAAGATGTAAAGTAAGATAATTTGTAATTTAGATTTTGTATAATTTACATCAAATACTGTACACACAAATGTTTGAAAATTGTGTCAAACTAATGTGATAAACAGAATCTTCAATTTGTTCCCACCTGGTAAGAGAAATTTGTAACAATTTTTTTCCCTTTTACTTCATCAAAGGGAGACTTGTCTCTTCTGTCTCAAATGAAATGTATGAAATATTGTACAAGATCCTGAATACATTTATATATTAACCTGCCTTATACTCACAGGATACATATGTATCATACAATTAGGATGTTGTAAAATGATCTACTGGGAATACTTGTGTAAAGATAAAATAAAGATATTTACTTTTAAATAATTAATAAAAAAAAATACTTATGTCCAAATCTGACTATGACATCTTTGAGATTTGAGTTTTGTCATTAGGTAAACAAACCAATATCATTTTACAATTATATTACTTCTTTTGTTAAGAAAAAAAACTGAGATGTTTTGCTTATTATGAAAGTTATGATAATGAGTGACGATATCACATGTTTATGTTTTCATTGTGATGTTGAACAAACACAACTGACGTCAAACATATAATTTTCTAAATTAAGAAAATCTGGAATTGAAAGTAAATGTTTTTAGAGTTATTTTGAATTATTTAGGTTTTCTCTGGGTTGATATAGAGTTTAGACATATAATATTATATTTGGAGCCTGAAGAGCCAGGAAGGTAAAATAGGATGTAATTATTACCTGGCTAGGAGTTTGTCAACTTCAGCTTGTCCTAAAAGTCTCCTTCACAACCACAGACAAAAAAATCTTCAACTTCTTTAATATCTCTTGTATGAAATGGAAACTTGTGTGAGAAACGATATATGTCAGGTTAATTTGAGAAATCAGTGTTTTTAAAGAGAAAATGATGTTTGTGATTATAATATTTTTGTTTTGTTTTCAGGCTTGGTAGCCTCAGTAACAATGTGAGAGAAGAGCAGGGATCTCCTAAATTAAAAGACGGAGGGGCCGCTGGTGATACACCAGGTAATACCATCATCTCAAACACGGAATAAAGTCTTGTACGCCGAGAAAATATCACCACATTAACTATACACAGAATAAAGTCTCATGTTGTACGCCGAGAAAATATCACCACATTTACTATACACAGAATAGAATAAAGTCTCATGTTGTACGCCGAGAAAATATCACCACATTTACTATACACAGAATAGAATAAAGTCTCATGTTGTACGCCGAGAAAATATCACCACATTTACTATACACAGAATAAAGTCTCATGTTGTACGCCGAGAAAATATCACCACATTTACTATACACAGAATAGAATAAAGTCTCATGTTATACTGTACGCCGAGAAAATATCACCACATTTACTTTACACAGAATAAAGTCTCATGTTGTACTGTACGCAGAGAAAATATCGCCACAGTTACTTATAATACTGTACACAGAATAGAAGAAAGTCTCATGTTGTACGCCGAGAAAATATCACCACATTTACTATACACAGAATAGAATAAAGTATCATGTTGTACGCCGAGAAAATATCACCACATTTACTATACACAGAATAGAATAAAGTCTCATGTTGTACGCCGAGAAAATATCACCACATTTACTATACACAGAATAGAATAAAGTATCATGTTGTACGCCGAGAAAATATCACCACATTTACTATACACAGAATAGAATAAAGTATCATGTTGTACGCCGAGAAAATATCACCACATTTACTATACACAGAATAGAATAAAGTCTCATGTTGTACGCCGAGAAAATATCACCACATTTACTATACACATAATAGAATAAAGTATCATGTTGTACGCCGAGAAAATATCACCACATTTACTATACACAGAATAGAAGAAAGTCTCATGTTGTACGCCGAGAAAATATCACCACATTTTCTATACACAGAATAGAATAAAGTCTCATGTTGTACGCCGAAAAAATATCACCACATTTACTATACACAGAATAGAATGAAGTCTCATGTTGTACTGTACGCCGAGAAAATATCACCACATTTACTATACACAGAATAGAATAAAGTCTCATGTTGTACGCAGAGAAAATATCACCACATTTACTATACACAGAATAGAATAAAGTCTCATGTTGTACGCCGAGAAAATATCACCACATTTACTATACACAGAATAGAATAAAGTCTCATGTTGTACTATACACTGAGAAAATATCACCACATTTACTATACACAGAATAGAATAAAGTCTCATGTTGTACGCCGAGAAAATATCACCACATTTACTATACACAGAATAGAATAAAGTCTCATGTTGTACGCCGAGAAAATATCACCACATTTACTATACACAGAATAGAATAAAGTATCATGTTGTACGCCGAGAAAATATCACCACATTTACTATACACAGAATAGAATAAAGTCTCATGTTGTACGCCGAGAAAATATCACCACATTTACTATACACAGAACAGAATAAAGTCTCATGTTGTACTGTACACAGAGAAAATATCGCCACATTTACTTATAATACTGTACACAGAATAGAATAAAGTCTCATGTTGTACTATACACTGAGAAAATATCACCACATTTACTATACACAGAATAGAATAAAGTCTCATGTTGTACTGTATGCAGAGAAAATATCACCACAATTACTTATAATACTGTACAAAGTGAGACTTTGCCACATTTTTTAAGTTTTAACCATTTTTGCCTCTTGAAAATAAAGGAAAACTTTCAGGTAGGCTAAAATTTGATGCTTTAGCAAAATTCCCTACACACATTGTACTTTTCAGCAAATTTAACACCAGGCATGAATTAAATAGTTTCATTTCAGGATGAAAAAGCCCCTAGGGCATATTGAGAAATTTATTAAATATGCCTGGCTGATAATTTTATATGTCACGAACCTTTAGATAAGTGTCATGTTAATTAAATGGTTTGATAAGTTTGATAAAAACGTTATGCTTATTCATTATTTTTGTAAAATACCTGTCCATGTTTGTCAGGTATTATCAAACATGTTGTACTGTCAGGTGTTATCAAACATGTTGTTCTGTCAAGTGTTATCAAACATGCAGGACTGTCAGGTGTTATCAAACATGCTGTACTGTCAGGTGTTATCAAACTTGCAGGACTGTCAGGTGTTATCAAACATGTTGTTCTGTCAGATGTTATCAAACATACAGTACTGTCAGGTGCAGGTGTTATCAAACATGCTGTACTGTCAGATGTTATCAAACATGCTGTACTGTCAGGTGTTATCAAACATGTTGTGCTATCAGGTGTTATCAAACATGCTGTACTGTCAGATGTTATCAAACATGCTGTACTGTCAGGTGTTATCAAACATGTTGTGCTATCAGGTGTTATCAAACATGCTGTACTGTCAGATGTTATCAAACATTCTGTACTGTCAGGTGTTATCAAACATGCTGTATTGTCAGGTGTTATCAAACATGCTGTGCTGTCATGTGTTATCAAACATGTTGTACTGTCAGGTGTTATCAAACATGCTGTACTGTCAGGTGTTATCAAACATGCTGTGCTGTCATGTGTTATCAAACATGTTGTACTGTCAGGTGTTATCAAACATGCTGTACTGTCAGGCGTTATCAAACATGCTGTACTGTCAGGTGTTATCAAACATGTTGTTCTGTCAGGTGTTATCAAACTTGCTGTACTGTCAGGTATTATCAAACATGTTTTACTGTCAGATGTTATCAAACATGTTGTACTGTCAGGTGTTATCAAACATGCTGTGCTGTCATGTGTTATCAAACATGTTGTACTGTCAGGTGTTATCAAACATGCTGTACTGTCAGGCGTTATCAAACATGCTGTACTGTCAGGTGTTATCAAACATGTTGTTCTGTCAGGTGTTATCAAACTTGCTATACTGTCAGGTATTATCAAACATGTTGTTCTGTCAGGTGTTATCAAACATGCTGTTCTGTCAAGTGTTATCAAACATTCTGTACTGTCAGGTGTTATCAAACATGCTGTATTGTCAGGTGTTATCAAACATGCTGTACTGTCAGGTGTTATCAAACATGTTGTACTGTCAGGTGTTATTAAATATGTTTTACTGTCAGGTGTTATCAAACATGCTGTACTGTCAGGTGTTATCAAACATGTTTTACTGTCAGGTATTATCAAACATGCTGTATTGTCAGGTGTTATCAAACATGCTGTATTGTCAGGTGTTATCAAACACGCTATACTGTCAGGTGTTATCAAACATGTTTTACTGTCAAGTGTTATCAAACATGCTGTACTGTCAGGTGTTATCAAACATGTTTTACTGTCAGGTATTATCAAACATGCTGTATTGTCAGGTGTTATCAAACATGCTGTATTGTCAGGTGTTATCAAACACGCTATACTGTCAGGTGTTATCAAACATGTTTTACTGTCAAGTGTTATCAAACATGCTGTACTGTCAGGTGTTATCAAACATGTTTTACTGTCAGGTGTTATCAAACATGTTTTACTGTCAGGTGTTATCAAACATGCTGTACTGTCAGGTGTTATCAAACATGCTGTACTGTCAGGTGTTATCAAACATGCTATACTGTCAGGTGTTATCAAACATGTTCTTGCAGCTCCATATAAGAAAATTGAAGTCTAATTGCAGGCTGTTTAATCAAGAAAAATTTTCTTGCGAAGCCTGTGGATTTCCCCAGGTTTTCAAGTTTTTTGATTTCGGGACTGATTGATAGAACAAAATGGCCGACATGCAACCATTTTGGATTTGAACGTTAAAGATTGCGATTGGTATTTTCTAGTTTCATAGAATAAAAAGAAAAGAAAGGAAAAGATCCGACATGTAAAGAACAAATAAAGACCAAACAATGATGTATGCCAAGGTCCCTTTGGGATTTTGTGTTAATCATAATGTCACGCACTCAGCTTTTTATGATCAGGATGAAGTAATCAATAGCTAATTAAATGAAACAACAGTCATATCACTGTGATAAACGTTCCAACTTCAACATTCACCATTATTACCTTGAGGTTCTTATCATTTCAGCTGGCTACATACAGCGTTGTATTATTATACAGCGTGATGAGAAAGGATATGGATTTACTGTAAGGGGAGATAACCCAGTATATGTGGAGGTCGTCAAGCCTGGTAAGTCTTGCACCGGGTAGATTATTAGATTATACTTCAGATATTTTTTTATTAAAAATTTGTGTAATGTAAAAAGTGTTGGTTTTTGAAATGTTTATTCGATCAAAGTTTATATGTCAGAAAACTTTGTAAATATAGATGTTTTGTCAGGAATATAATAATTGCTAAATATTTGAATACAAGATATAAGTTAAATTTGAGATCAGAGTTTTGAGCTGATAGGTCTGTCAATAAGAATATCAAAATCAATATTTTTGTTATGTTAAATCAAAGTTTACTCTAGTTTCTGTGTTTCAGATGGGGCAGCTGCTAAGGCAGGTGTACAGCAAGGAGACCGTATAATAAAGGTAATGTCATTGGCTAGAATTTGTCAGAGAGAGGGGGCCATGATAGGTCTGTGGTGTTGTAATATCACATGCTACAGGTTCTCAGAGAGAAGGGGCCATGATAGGTCTGTAGTGTTGTAATATCACATGCTACAGGTTCTCAGAGAGAAGGGGCCATGATAGGTCTGTCTGTGGTGTTGTAATATCACTGGCTACAGTTTGTCAGAGAGAAGGGGCCATGATAGGTCTGTAGTGTTGTAATATCACTGCCTACAGTTTCTCAGAGAGAAGGGGCCATGATAGGTCTGTCTGTAGTGTTGTAATATCACTGGCTACAGTTTCTCAGAGAGAAGGGGCCATGATAGGTCTGTAGTGTTGTAATATCACTGACTACAGTTTCTCAGAGAGAAGGGGCCATGATAGGTCTGTAGTGTTGTAATATCACTGACTACAGTTTCTCAGAGAGAAGGGGCCATGATAGGTCTGTAGTGTTGTAATATCAGAGAGAGAGAAGGGGCCATGATAGGTCTGTCACTGTATAGGTCTGTTGTTGTAATATCACTGACTACAGTTTCTCAGAGAGAAGGGGCCATGATAGGTCTGTCTGTAGTGTTGTAATATCACTGACTACAGTTTCTCAGAGAGAAGGGGCCATGATAGGTCTGTCTGTAGTGTTGTAATATCACTGACTACAGTTTCTCAGAGAGAAGGGGCCATGATAGGTCTGTCTGTAGTGTTGTAATATCACTGGCTACAGTTTCTCAGAGAGAAGGGGCCATGATAGGTCTGTCTGTAGTGTTGTAATATCACTGACTACAGTTTCTCAGAGAGAAGGGGCCATGATAGGTCTGTAGTGTTGTAATATCACTGGCTACAGTTTCTCAGAGAGAAGGGGCCATGATAGGTCTGTAGTGTTGTAATATCACTGGCTACAGTTTTTCAGAGAGAAGGGGCCATGATAGGTCTGTCTGTAGTGTTGTAATATCACTGGTTACAGGTTCTCAGAGAGAAGGGGCCATGATAGGTCTGTAGTGTTGTAATATCACTGGCTACAGTTTCTCAGAGAGAAGGGGCCATGATAGGTCTGTAGTGTTGTAATATCACTGACTACAGTTTCTCAGAGAGAAGGGGCCATGATAGGTCTGTAGTGTTGTAATATCACTGACTACAGGTCAGAGAGAAGGGGCAGTTTCTCAGAGAGAAGGGGCCATGATAGGTCTGTAGTGTTGTAATATCACTGACTACAGTTTGTCAGAGAGAAGGGGCCATGATAGGTCTGTAGTGTTGTAATGTCACTGGCTACAGGTTCTCAGAGAGAAGGGGCCATGATAGGTCTGTAGTGTTGTAATATCACTGACTACAGTTTCTCAGAGAGAAGGGGCCATGATAGGTCTGTAGTGTTGTAATATCACTGCTACAGTGAGAGAAGGGGCCATGATAGGTCTGTAGTGTTGTAATATCACTGCTAGAGAGAGAAGGGGCCATGATAGGTCTGTAGTGTTGTAATATCACTGCTACAGTTTCTCAGAGAGAAGGGGCCATGATAGGTCTGTAGTGTTGTAATATCACAGTGAGAGAAGGGGCCATGATAGGTCTGTCTGTAGTGTTGTAATATCACTACAGTTTCTCAGAGAGAAGGGGCCATGATAGGTCTGTAGTTGTAATATCACTGGCTACAGTTTCTCAGAGAGAAGGGGCCATGATAGGTCTGTAGTGTTGTAATATCACTGGCTACAGTTTCTCAGAGAGAAGGGGCCATGATAGGTCTGTAGTGTTGTAATATCACTGGCTACAGTTTCTCAGAGAGAAGGGGCCATGATAGGTCTGTGTAGTGTTGTAATATCACTGACTACAGTTTCTCAGAGAGAAGGGGCCATGATAGGTCTGTTGTTGTAATATCACTGGCTACAGTTTCTCAGAGAGAAGGGGCCATGATAGGTCTGTCTGTAGTGTTGTAATATCACTGTCTACAGTTTCTCAGAGAGAAGGGGCCATGATAGGTCTGTAGTGTTGTAATGTCACTGGCTACAGTTTGTCAGAGAGAAGGGGCCATGATAGGTCTGTAGTGTTGTAATATCACTGGCTACAGTTTCTCAGAGAGAAGGGGCCATGATAGGTCTGTAGTGTTGTAATATCACATGCTACAGGTTCTCAGAGAGAAGGGGCCATGATAGGTCTGTAGTGTTGTAATATCACTGGCTACAGTTTCTCAGAGAGAAGGGGCCATGATAGGTCTGTAGTGTTGTAATGTCACTGGCTACAGTTTCTCAGAGAGAAGGGGCCATGATAGGTCTGTAGTGTTGTAATGTCACTGGCTACAGTTTGTCAGAGAGAAGGGGCCATGATAGGTCTGTAGTGTTGTAATATCACTGGCTACAGTTTCTCAGAGAGAAGGGGCCATGATAGGTCTGTAGTGTTGTAATATCACTGGCTACAGTTTCTCAGAGAGAAGGGGCCATGATAGGTCTGTAGTGTTGTAATATCACTGACTACAGTTTCTCAGAGAGAAGGGGCCATGATAGGTCTGTAGTGTTGTAATATCACTGGCTACAGTTTCTCAGAGAGAAGGGGCCATGATAGGTCTGTAGTGTTGTAATATCACTGACTACAGTTTCTCAGAGAGAAGGGGCCATGATAGGTCTGTCTGTAGTGTTGTAATATCACTGGCTACAGTTTCTCAGAGAGAAGGGGCCATGATAGGTCTGTCTGTAGTGTTGTAATATCACTGGTTACAGGTTCTCAGAGAGAAGGGGCCATGATAGGTCTGTAGTGTTGTAATATCACTGGCTACAGTTTCTCAGAGAGAAGGGGCCATGATAGGTCTGTCTGTAGTGTTGTAATATCACTGGCTACAGTTTCTCAGAGAGAAGGGGCTACAGTTTGTAATATCACTGGCTTCTCAGAGAGAAGGGGCAGAGAGAGAGAAGGGGCCATGATAGGTCTGTAGTGTTGTAATATCACTGGCTACAGTTTCTCAGAGAGAAGGGGCCATGATAGGTCTGTAGTGTTGTAATATCACTGTACAGTTTCTCAGAGAGAAGGGGCCAGGATAGGTCTGTAGGGATGTAATATCACTGGCTACAGTTTCTCAGAGAGAAGGGGCCATGATAGGTCTGTCTGTAGGGTTGTAATATCACTCACTACAGTTTCTCAGAGAGAAGGGGCCATGATAGGTCTGTAGTGTTGTAATATCACTGGCTACAGTTTCTCAGAGAGAAGGGGCCATGATAGGTCTGTCTGTAGTGTTTTAATATCACTGGCTACAGTTTCTCAGAGAGAAGGGGCCATGATAGGTCTGTAGTAGTGTTGTAATATCACTGGCTACAGTTTCTCAGAGAGAAGGGGCCATGATAGGTCTGTAGTGTTGTAATATCACTGACTACAGTTTCTCAGAGAGAAGGGGCCATGATAGGTCTGTAGTGTTGTAATATCACTGGCTACAGTTTCTCAGAGAGAAGGGGCCATGATAGGTCTGTAGTGTTGTAATATCACTGGTTTCTCAGAGAGAAGGGGCCATGATAGGTCTGTAGTGTTGTAATATCACTGTTTCTCAGAGAGAAGGGGCTACAGTTTCTCAGAGAGAAGGGGCCATGATAGGTCTGTAGTGTTGTAATATCACTGGCTACAGTTTCTCAGAGAGAAGGGGCCATGATAGGTCTGTCTGTAGTGTTGTAATATCACATGCTACAGTTTCTCAGAGAGAAGGGGCCATGATAGGTCTGTAGTGTTGTAATGTCACTGGCTACAGTTTCTCAGAGAGAAGGGGCCATGATAGGTCTGTCTGTAGTGTTGTAATATCACTGACTACAGTTTCTCAGAGAGAAGGGGCCATGATAGGTCTGTAGTGTTGTAATATCACTGACTACAGTTTCTCAGAGAGAAGGGGCCATGATAGGTCTGTAGTGTTGTAATATCACTGAGAGAAGGGGCCATGATAGGTCTACAGTTTCTCAGAGAGAAGGGTCCATGATAGGTCTGTAGTGTTGTAATATCACTGACTACAGTTTCTCAGAGAGAAGGGGCCATGATAGGTCTGTAGTGTTGTAATATCACTGGCTACAGTTTCTCAGAGAGAAGGGGCCATGATAGGTCTGTAGTGTTGTAATATCACTGGCTACAGTTTCTCAGAGAGAAGGGGCCATGATAGGTCTGTAGTGTTGTAATATCACTGGCTACAGTTTCTCAGAGAGAAGGGGCCATGATAGGTCTGTCTGTAGTGTTGTAATATCACTGGCTACAGTTTCTCAGAGAGAAGGGGCCATGATAGGTCTGTCTGTAGTGTTGTAATATCACTGACTACAGTTTCTCAGAGAGAAGGGGCCATGATAGGTCTGTCTGTAGTGTTGTAATATCACTGACTACAGTTTCTCAGAGAGAAGGGGCCATGATAGGTCTGTAGTGTTGTAATATCACTGACTACAGTTTCTCAGAGAGAAGGGGCCATGATAGGTCTGTCTGTAGTGTTGTAATATCACTGACTACAGTTTCTCAGAGAGAAGGGGCCATGATAGGTCTGTAGTGTTGTAATATCACTGACTACAGTTTCTCAGAGAGAAGGGGCCATGATAGGTCTGTAGTGTTGTAATATCACTGGCTACAGGTTCTCAGAGAGAAGGGGCCATGATAGGTCTGTCTGTAGTGTTGTAATATCACTGGCTACAGTTTCTCAGAGAAAAGGGGCCATGATAGGTCTGTAGTGTTGTAATATCACTGGCTACAGTTTCTCAGAGAGAAGGGGCCATGATAGGTCTGTCTGTAGTGTTGTAATATCACTGGCTACAGTTTCTCAGAGAGAAGGGGCCATGATAGGTCTGTCTGTAGTGTTGTAATATCACTGGCTACAGTTTCTCAGAGAGAAGGGGCCATGATAGGTCTGTAGTGTTGTAATATCACTGGCTACAGTTTCTCAGAGAGAAGGGGCCATGATAGGTCTGTAGTGTTGTAATATCACATGCTACAGGTTCTCAGAGAGAAGGGGCCATGATAGGTCTGTAGTGTTGTAATATCACTGACTACAGTTTCTCAGAGAGAAGGGGCCATGATAGGTCTGTCAGTAGAACATTGGTCTTGATAACTTCAGAAGAATGGCAGAGGTGAAAGGTTAAACAATCCCTACCCTTGGTAGTTTGTTTTTTATGAAGCTGAGAAAAGGGAGACAACAAAGAAACGGTCTTTGGGAGACCAGCAAAGAAAGTCTCAGGGAGAACTAAAGTTCTAATGTTAGATGGAAAATGTTAAAAATCTTTTATAAAAAGAAGTTTTAACAGAATTAGGACACATGTAGCTCTGCAGCATATTTAAAAGCTGACCCAATGCAGATAGATACAACCTTTATCCAAACATAATTTGATAGAAAATACTCAATATTAAATTATTCAATATTTTCTATTGATTTAGAATATACAGAAATCTCAAGATAAGAATTAGATACAATTTAGTAGTAAGACCAGCACACATCTGTTATTTTCTATATCATATTTTACAACTTATCAATGTAAGTATCAGTATACCCACTCCCTCTACTTTTGTTGAAAAAATGAAAATGGTCAATAATGATAAAAAGAGTCACCAGTGATTTTTTTCCTGATTCAGACTTATTCTTGAGAATTGCAGGTAAATTTATGAACTGCTTGATAGTATTTCTGGTGGTGTAATATTAAAGTCCCTGGTCAATATAATGTATCTATATATAATGTGATATTCTTCTACTGTGTGGTTTTCATACTGATGTTGGACTTGGTTATGATTTTGAAATGGCTGCATGTCCTTGGATTCAAACACTTTAATGTCTAATCAACATAGATATGATATCCTTCATCGTGTTTGGTATAGTATGAGTGATTAAAGGGAGGTAACTGAGAAATTGTTCTCTGAGCTAGTGGTGAAGTGATGACAAGTCAGTTACAACAACAATGGATTTTTTTTTCAAATTCTTTATAGCTAATACTGTAATAATGTTACACTCTTCTCATGCTGGATGTCTGACATTGTATGTTGGTAACATATACTACCAGTAAACTGTCTAATATATACTTGTCTCAATAAAATCACATTACTGGCCTATTGTGTCTTGTCATACAGATCCATAAATATAAGACAAGTGTGTAATGACACTATGGTAATGTCATAAATAAGTTGCGTCTAGATGATGTCACATCATTGACTTAGTAGTGAAAAATATACCATCCGCATCAAAATAAATCTGTCTCATAGGGATATTAATTCTTAGGTTTCGGTTTATATTTTGTAAATAATTTTTTATACCATATATGGAATCTTATACTCATGCTCTTGTGATATGGAACTTACCATATTATACCATTACAGGTGTTCAACCTGTGTTGCATAATTTCATATTTCACTTGCCTAAAGACTGAATTGTGAAATATCAAATTATTGAACTTGTTTGATAAATTCCATATTACATTGATATTCATATCAGATCTTTTTTTATCAGCCATCCTTTCACTATAATTTGAAACATAAGCCCACTGGGCCAGCACCTCTGATTCCTACAAATCTGTCATATATATAGGTGGGCTTACCATCAGACACAGACTTATTTGATAAATATGGTAGATGAACACAGTATGTTGTGTAAATATAAATTCCTGCATTATTTTTAGGCACTTATAGAAAAGAAGGGTGAAATGGTTTAAAATCTGAATCATTAGATAAGCAGTATTTCATCCACACAATAGACATTTACATGCCCAAACATTTCTAGAATACAAGAAAATTATTAAAAAAAAAAGCAGTTATGAATATTAACTTTTAAATATTGAAAATTATATATATATATAAAAAAAAAATGACAATAAATGTTTTGAGTTCCAGGTGTCAGAAACTAGACACTATATTGTTTTCAGTTGAAAAAAAGAACAGAAGGAAGGGAGGCAACTGTGACAAGCCTACAAAACAAATAGCACTTAGTAATATCTTTACAGCTTTATATACAATACCATATATAGTCTAGGTCATTACATAATAGAAAATTTCCTTATGTCATTGAATTTGGAAATTTTCTGGACAATATGTATTGTATATACATAACATGTTATTTATGAGAAACAGAAATCACTAGATAACTAGAAGTGATGTTGCTTATGTAAACACTTTGGATTTTGTTTGTAGGTCAATGGTACCTTAGTGACAAACTCTAATCACCTAGAAGTCGTCAAGCTCATTAAAGGTAAGTGCAGAATTTTGATGTTTACACTCGAACAGGTGTGTCATAATAGTTATTTATTTACAGGAGAAGACCAGTTAATTGAGTTATTTATAAGTAATATGTATGCTTTTTATGACATTGGATTTTACATTCCAATAATTAGTTAATTGGAAACATATGACTTTGGTTCATGACACATTTATGACTTGTTTGTGACCTTTTCATACAGTCATGAAGTCATATAGTCATAACCTGTTTTTGAAGTTATTTTAACACCATACATACACTTCACAATTATTATTACATACTGAGTACTAGACTGTACCATGTAATGTTAAAGTTTACTGAAACAACAAGCAACTGAGGTCCAAGCTTTTACTATGTAAGACTGAACATTTTAATGAAGTATACAAATGTAAGGTTTTATTAAATGAAGGGTGATGCCATAATGAAAATTAAACCCCTGAAATTTATCAGCTTCAGCGAAAATCTGGTAGACCAACATGCATTTGAATCCATGAGGCTTGCAGATAAATCCTGAAGAATATAATTGGATTGTAACATGTTTCAAAAGAATTCTTTAAATTCTTCAAAAACTTTCCTTCCATGTTTACAAACAATTAGTTGATTTGTATTTTCATCCTGGAAAGAAAGTATAGAATTATGTTGATCAGATATTGGAGATGGCTTATGATGGAGGTTAAGGATGTAAAGAATGTGAGTGAAATCTGTTTGTGGAAATGATGTTGTTTGCAAAGATATAATTGAAAAAAAAAATATATACAGAACCATTTACAAGATTTTCTTTGTGATATGTGTTTACCAGCAATTTTTTGATTGCTAAAAGTGAAACAAGTATAAGTTGTTTATACTCTTGTGTGTCATTGTGACCAATATAAGCTGGAGCCTCTTTAATGAATAGGTAGGGTATAGAGCCTCCTTATTCTGTAGCTAGGGTTTAGAGCCTCCTTGTTGGGTGACTAGGGTGTAGGACCTTATTGTTGTGTAGCTAAATTGTAGAGCCATATAGCTTTAGAGCGAGGGTCTAGATCCTCCTTGTTGTGTAGCTAAGTTGTAGAGCCATATAGCTTTATAGCGAGGGTCTAGATCCTCCTTGTTGTGTAGCTAAGTTGTAGAGCCATATAGCTTTATAGCGAGGGTCTAGATCCTCCTTGTTGTGTAGCTAAGTTGTAGAGCCATATAGCTTTAAAGCGAGGGTCCAGATCCTCCTTGTTGTGTAGCTAAGTTGTAGAGCCATATAGCTTTAAAGCGAGGGTCTAGATCCTCCTTGTTGTGTAGCTAAGTTGTAGAGCCATATAGCTTTAGAGCGAGGGTCTAGATCCTCCTTGTTGTGTAGCTAAGTTGTAGAGCCATATAGCTTTAGAGCGAGGGTCTAGATCCTCCTTGTTGTGTAGCTAAGTTGTAGAGCCATATAGCTTTATAGCGAGGGTCTAGATCCTCCTTGTTGTGTAGCTAAGTTGTAGAGCCATATAGCTTTATAGCGAGGGTCTAGATCCTCCTTGTTGTGTAGCTAAGTTGTAGAGCCATATAGCTTTATAGCGAGGGTCTAGATCCTCCTTGTTGTGTAGCTAGGGTTTAAAGATTGCTTACTGGATAGGAAGGGTGTAGAACCTCATTGCTGGGTAGCTAGGTTGTGGAGTCTTATAGCTGGATAACGAGGGTCTATAGCTAGGGTAGCTAGGGTGTAAAGTGTCTTACCTTAGTAGCTAGGGTGTAAAGTGTCTTACGTGAGTAGCTAGGGTGTAAAGTGTCTTATCAGAGTAGTTAGGGTGTAAAGTGTCTTACCTTAGAAGCTAGGGTTTATATTGTCTTATCTGAGTAGGTAGGGTGTAAAGTGTCTTATCTGAGAAGCTAGGATGTAAAGTGTCTTACCTTAGTAGCTAGGGTTTATAGTGTCTTATCTGAGTAGGTAGGGTGTAAAGTGTTTTATCTGAGTAGCTGGGTGTAAAGTGTCTTATCTGAGTAGCTAGGGTGTAAAGTGTCTTATCTGAGTAGCTTGGGTGTAAAGTGTCTTATATGAATAGCAAGGATGTAAAGTGTCTTATCTGAATAGCTAAGATGTAAAGTGTCTTATCTGAATAGCAAGGATGTAAAGTGTCTTATCTGAATAGCTAGGATGTAAAGTGTCTTATCTGAATAGCTAGGATGTAAAGTGTCTTATCTGAGTAGCTAGGGTGTAAAGTGTCTTATGTGAGTAGCTAGGATGTCAAGTGTCTTGTTTGAGTAGCTAGGATGTAAAGTGTCTTATCTGAATAGCTAGGGTGTAAAGTGTCTTATCTGTGTAGCTAGGGTGTAAAGTGTCTTATCTGAGTAACTGGGGTGTTAAGTGTCTTATCTGAGTAGCTAGGGTGTAAAGTGTCTTATCTGAGTAGCTAGGATGTGAAGTGTCTTATCTGAGTAGCTAGGGTGTAAGTTGTCTTATTTGAGTACCTAGAGTATAGAGCCTCATAGTTCAATAGGTTTCAGTCAGCTGGCCTCCTACCCATATATACATTCACTTCAGCAGTGCTATGCAGTGCTAGGTTCATCTTTCATTTTTAGCTTCTAACATTTCTGTTTTCTTGGCAAGATGTTCATAGGAAGTCTGTGAAAACAGTTTCTTCTTGAAATGTTGATGTCGTTTCCTGGCAGTGCATATGAAGGCCATGTCAGTTCCACGACTGACCCTTTTGTTTTCACTGAACATCATAACATTCCCTGCAAAACCTTCTATCTAATGTCAGTCTCTAAAGTTTCTATTTAATTTTCCTTCATATGGAAACACCCCTTTTGAACACAAAATCTTAAAATCATCACCAAATCAACAACTATTGTTGTACATGATAGAAGGCTGTGAAATTGGCATTTGCTTTGCTCCATCATTTAGAATGTTTGCTCCAGATGGTAAACACCATAGCCCAGCTCCTCCTACACTATTTATCAAATAGTGTAACATTTTTGTATGTTCGAAGTGTTTCATTTGTAGAATTGAATAAAAAGGCAGAAATTATAATTTTACAAATTAGTCAGTGTTCAACTGTGGTTTCCTTTCCTTAAGGTCCATCGACCGACATCTATACTAACTCAACCTCCTTGGGCCTTAATATTTAACAATGATACCCCTCTCTCAGGAACAAATACTTGACAGTCACCTGGCATAACCCATCTTCCCAGGGCTTCAGTGTTCAGATTTAATTCCCCTGTCTTAAGCCTCAGTACATGACTGTCACCCATAATTAAACTTCGTCCCTAGGCCTCAGTGTTCAACTGTGATTCCCCTGTCTTAGGCCCCAGTATATGACTGTCACCCGTTATAACCCACTTCTCTGGACCTCTGTATCAATCCCTCCTTCCTGTGGCCCAGTGGTCATTTAGTATCTCCCATCCTCCTCTTCCACACTTGGATGCCTGTCATCACCATTAATTGTTTCTCCTTGTTCCATGATCATTGCTATTTGTAACCACCTCTGCTGGGCCCCAATGTAGCAGCCCAGTGCCAATATCTTCTGCAGGTTTTCAGTGCAAACAGAGCTCACTAAAATAGCAGTGTATTGAGGTTCCTCTGCCAAGATTTCCTGTTCTGAACCAATGGCTTAGATCTGGGATCAAATAGAAATAGTACATGTACAGACCAAAAGGGAAGACTCCTCATGATCAGTATAGGCCAAAAGGGAAGTCTCCTCAGACCAGGCCTTAAGGGAGGTCTCCTAAGTACAGGCCTTAAGGGAGGTCTCCTCAGTACAGGCCTAGAGGGAAGACTCCTCATTACAGGCCTTAAGGGAGGTCTCCTCAGTACAGGCCTAAAGGGAAGACTCCTCAGTACAGGCCTTAAGGGAGGTCTCCTCAGTACAGGCCTTAAGGGAAGCAGGCCTAGAGGGAAGTCTCCTCAGTACAGGCCTTAAGGGAAGACTCCTCATTACTGGCCTTAAGGGAAGACTCCTCAATTCAGACCTTAGGTCTCCTTTTAGTACAGGCCAAAATACTCCCTCAGGTCCCAAATATATACAGGTCTGAAAGGTGCTCTGAAAAACATTCTAGCTTTCATATTCTTAAGGTCTGGATGGTGCGTTTAAATGCATACAGATCTGATTTATATCCACAAATGCATAGAGGACTTACAATTGTCTTTGTAAAATCCAGAGATGTTTTATTAATTTCATTGTAATTCAGATAGTTTGCACTTTATAGTGTAGGCACTGTCAGTACCCATGTTAGTATACATAGTTATCATTGCACTTTATAGTTTTATGCGGAGTCAGTTTCATGTTGGTAAACGTTAGTGTCTGTATGTTTTATAGATGTGTTGACATTTGTTAATTGGAAAAATATGCTGTAACTCGACACCACAGAGAAAATGATAGGTCTGAAATAAACTTGTTTCATATATATTGATTCAGATAGATTACAAATGTGCTGGTGATATAAATATTCATTGGATAGGTTTTGTTTAGGAAGACAACTAACTAACAGCACATGGTTATAGACGAGAAATAACAGAGCAAGTTGTAGAGACATGTGAAGATACTTGCTTATTGTTAAAAACTCTTTTAGATTGAGCTTGGTCGGAAATTTTGAAGGAGAAAGCCTTTCCTAGACTTAAATACGTTCAAGTTACGTTCAGGTACAAAGCACATGAGTTTCAAGTGTGCACTTAACTGTATTTATAGTCATACAGTCTTGTTTGTACATTATCCTATATATAGATAATACTGATTACATCATCATTTTTCAAACTAGATCTTCGTTAAATGATGCGGGTTTGGGGTTATAATTATGTAAGCTGGCTATACCAAATTCATTCTCTGACCGTTTCTTCTCAAATGTCAGTTTGTCTCTGCCTACTATGCCACACAACCTGTGTGAGATTCTCCCGTCCCCTGTATGAGATTCTCCCTGTCCCCTGTATGAGATTCTCCCGTCCCCTGTATGAGATTCTCCCTGTCCCCTGTATGAGATTCTCCCGTCCCCTGTATGAGATTCTCCCTGTCCCCTGTATGAGATTCTCCGACTTCCCTGTGAGA